TTAGGATTGAAATGGAATTTATATGATTCGGTGGACTGAAACATTCCCCTATGAATTATTTCATGTTACTTCTTTTTTCTGTCTACTTTTTTCAATTAGACAAACATCTTTTACTAAAATGTTCTTCTTTTTTTTAGAATTTGTTTTTCTTGGACAGTCTGTTTAAAAAGTCTTTTTATTTCGTAACAGAAGCAGTAAAATATATACTAAAGTCAAAGTTGAAACTCCTCCGCATTTTGCTCCTTGTAAGATGCTCTTGATGGCTCCTTCTTCAGAAGAATGCTTAGAAACAAGCTAAAAACAGTTCTGTTTCTCAGACATACGTCGGCACTAAGCTAACGTCGAAATGAATCGACGTATCACCAAGGGATTGGCAAGTTTTCTCGCTGCCAGAACTGGACACTCAGTTTTCCAACGGTCACTAAAATCCATTGACAATTTCACTCTCTTCGACTGCCCAACTGGATCGTCCAGTTTTGGTTCGACCTTCTTTGGCCCTTCTGTTTTATTTCAGCATAATATTAATGCTGCCAAATCCACTAAGGTACACTTTTATTGGAGTGTATTGCAGAAACGAGAAGCGGTACGCGCCACTTGGGGCCTAATCTCGAATCACTCGGGATTTTTTATTCGGACAATTTTCGTGATGGGCCGACAAGCCGATGTAGCGCCTGCTGCTCTTGAAAAACTTCGGCGAGAGCTGCGCCTCCACAGGGATGTATTAATTGGCAATTATATCGACAGTTATCGCAATAACACATTAAAGGTTTGTAGCGTTTGGGAAAGCCATTCCCCATTGCCTTGTTGTCATTTTGTAGCCAATTATGTCCATATAAGTAGCAGTTGTAGTGCCGATTTTTTATGCGTTTTGTGCTGTGTAACAGCAGTACAAAACGCATATTGTTACGGGGTTGTCTGTGTGTGGTGTGTGTGTGTGTGTGTCCGCAGCAACTTGTCCGCAACTTTCTACTCAGGAACCACAGAAGCTAGGAAGCTGAAAATTTAGGGTAACGTTCCCCACCCTATACGAGTAATTCAGCAGCAGATTAATCTGTATAGTTTATGTCTCTTCGCAAACCTAGTCAATCTCTGAGGAGTTTTTTGAGCTGTTGATGAAGTTTTTTTAGAAAATACTGTTTTTACAGTTCTTGTCGGCGGTACAGTTCTCGTTCGATTATTGCCGCGAGCAACGTACTGTTCCATATGCGCTTTTTGTGGACGATGATTATCTGGTTTTAATGCAAAATCTGGTAGCTGAAGTGAAAAAACACGATGTTCGCGAGCGGCTCTACATGGGCTGGAGATTTGACACACGACCATTCCGTACTTCTTTGCACAAGCATCGGGTATGTATCCCGATTTTTTTGCGTTTTGTACTGCAACAGTTACCAGTAATAGCACTAACATCGGATCCTTACACCGATTGTCCATTTGGTTTTGGTATTCTTGTTATGAGAAAAATAATTTATATTTATTAATCTCTCTTTCTTACTAATCATGATTATCTCTATTCGCTTCTCTTGCAGGTCTCATTGTTGGCATATCCGTTTGATCGATATCCACCATATATCTCGGCTGGCGCTGTTCTTCTCTCTTCACAAGCCATACGTGAAATGTACTATGCAATTCAGCATACCAGACTTTATGCATATGATGATGTGTATGCCGGTATATTGGCCAAGTCGCTTGACCTGCCCGTCACACATAACAAAAATATGCGTTTCTGGAAAGCAGCACTTAGTGAGAACGATGCATCATCAGTGATCTGTGCTCATGGATTCGAGGAGGAAGGCCTAAAAAATATTTACAGTGAGCTAAGGAGAAAGATTCCAGGATTCGCTTGACTGATATGCTAAATTTCTGGATCGCCAAGTTTCTGTGCTGGGCTCCATAGTCGCTTTTAGAACTCCACATAGGGCTGCCAACTTCATTCAAAAATTTTGTGGTTACTCCACGCTTTACTTGAGTATTTTCACATCAGATTGTGCAGTTGCTAATATTTGCAAAGGATTTTTCTGAGAGAGAGGGAGAGAGAGAGATGAGAATGGTTGGCAGCAAAAGTTGTGGTATTATTTGCCCTGATCATGCAAGAACAAAAGAATTGTTAAAGCGCGAGTATATTTCGGAATCCGAAACGATACAGCGCACTCTACAGATTACCTGTTTTTCTTTGAAGTACAGTATAACTCGCAGATTTGTTATAATGTTCTACTTTCTGCTGGGTGAATTTGCAAGCTGTATCAGCAGTGGCTTCATAATGGCATCTGCACTGGCCTAATCACTGAATCTCTTATTTATGAAAAATCTCTTATCTCAGTTTTGTTATTTCCTCTATAGTTTGACTCGTAACGGAAGGAACAGAAAACCGACGTAAGATTTGCGCCTATCTGTTATGCTGTTTAGAAATTATGCAGAAAAATAGGCACGTTATATTCGTTGAGGCATTCGTTCTCTGTGCACTTGGCGACTGGACATGAGTTTTAAGCTCCCACAGCATTACTCAAATTCTTTGCGATGTTTGAACGATGAGCACTTGGTCGACTACAGGCTAAATCTGCTGTCCCATTTCTCTCTAATAAGGCATGTACTTTTGAGGGCATAAGTACATGCCCTCATTTACCTGAGTAACAGCGTCCCGGTCACTTACCGGGATATCTGGACCAGCTCTGATTCTCCAATTTTATGCTGCTGACAACTTCTCGATTGCTTTAACTAATCATTTTTCGCTGGCTAGCCTACAGCTTGTCGGTTACCACGAAATTTCAGAAGCTTTGCGTGTGATACCGCTCTCGAAGGTCGTCTTCTGCAAAATATCAGGTGCACAGAGAGAGACATGATCTCGTCGCAGTGCTTCGCTAGTGCGCTAGTTCTCAGTCATCTCGTAATGGCTTTTTCTCCTGCTGTAATTTGCGAAACATTAGCATTCGCCGTTTATTTTTGTCCCAGAAGTGTCTTTATTTTATTGTTACATTGTTACCTTCTACGATTCTTAAAATTTTCAAGCATGTCGCGTCTCTTCCGGGTAAACAGTAATCGCTCTAGAGACATATTCACTTATTTTATGCTTGCTTGCATAATGTTCATAGCTCTTCTTGTTGCTTTGCTTTTGATTGTAAAAGCTGTAAAAAGCATTATTACTGGTACGGATTCATCTGTTCATCATGTGTATATGGTGAGATTTTTTCTCGTTTTCTTGCTTTTGTGTTTTGCTGTTGTGCTGCTAAAACGCATCTCATTGTGAGTTTTGCATAACATTGGAAAAAAAAAACAGCTTTAAATGCAATGTGTCACTAAAACATGAAATATAGAAGACAAAGAGGTATTTTCCTCAAACATTTTCAAAATTCATACTGCTATCACCGCTCAACCGAGTATTACGACATATATTTCTTTGATATAATCGAGACGCCTAACATACTGTAAAGCCAGATCACAGTTCACTTTCTCTCAAAGAACTCTCGAAAGCGGAAATCGCAACAATTTAATGAAATACTAACGGTTTTCTTTATCGAAGACTGGTCACAGTGCAAGCTTGCGTGCCGGTATTACTCCATGTAAGGTACAGACGATTCAATAGCTGGAATGAAATGGATGATTGGGATAGCCAAATCAGATGTGCCAGCAAGTTGTCTTTTTTTCTGGTTATTGAGCTGAAAGTAAGTAACAAAATTCACTCACTTCTGAAACACACCCACACGCGGAAGACCTCATAGCAATGCGCTTTTCGCTCACGACTAAAACGCATAAAAACGACGTTAAACAGAAGTTATTTACTTTCCTTTATGCAAAATTTACGATGATTTACGCTAGTGAACGCACATGGTAAGTGTAAATCAATAACTATTAATGTAGTTAACGACCTGATTGCTTCAAGCTCAGTGCAAAAACATATGATTGCACCGGAAAGTCTCGGGTATTTCAGCCTAGGTTTAGTAATCGACCGCTCGGGCAGGGTTTCGAGGAGCTGACGAACACACATTAAAAAGGCAGTGCGTAATAACTAGAGGTATGTGGGCTGGGAACAAAGTATTTGGCACAGCTGCGTCTAACGTATAAAAGTATTTCTGTAATATCCCTAATAGTACATGCTGTACTGACTGCAGATAATTTTGTTTCTTAGTTACTATCAGTTTTATTTCCCCTTCTTAAAAAATTTCTGCTGTACTATCTTTTACAAAATTTCTTTTGGAAATAAATTAACTTTTCAGCAAGCTAATTGCATTTTATTTTTTGAACACAACAAACACAGATATAGAATATATTAAGTATCAATTGCGCAGGTGTGCAAAGAAGGATGTCTGCTTCATAAAAGCTGGTGTTTATTGAAATTCGTCGCAATCCTCTTTTTTTTACATAGTAACTTTTTACGAGCATTTTCTCCATTATTTCACCATGCAAGATACCACTGCGACTATGCGAAAAAGCAAAATTCGATGAGTTCGGCGTATTACTTAACTCAATAACTACCAGCCAATATGACGCACTAGTGAGTAGTACCGGGAGAAGAGTGGGAGATCTGAAAATCTTGAAAGTGATGGCGCGTATACATCATACAAATAATGGGCACTATTTGCGGGCGTGTAACTCAGGGCTGAGTAGCACTAACACTGCTGCGCTCGGTGTACGAAAGTACCACGCCCTTTTCCTCCTCCCTCTCCCCTCTCCTCCCCCTAGCCCCTCCTCCGCTTCCCAGTAGAATCATTAACATGGGATCCTAATACTAACTACCTGGATATTTCTTATTAAAAAGTTAACAGTGCATGCCAAGGAATCAGTAATGTTATCCGTTTATAAGCTAAATGTCATGATAATTTCGAAGTTCACCAGATACATTAAAATCCCAAGAAAACTGAGTTCAGGTTTGCTTCACTCTGCAGTTTTAAATTACATTTTGATGTCTGAATGTAAGTCGACGCGCCAAAAAATTTAACAGTTGGCTGCAGGTTTTCTTCTGGAACCGTGTAGTAAGCCGTAAGACCTCGAAATCTGATATTTTTAGCTCACTCTGCAATCAAAATAAATGGCAACGCGCACCAGGCTAGCCGGTGCGATCATGCGTTTTGTGCAATTCATCCCATC